TCCTCCTCAGGCTCGAGCCTTTCTTGCAATCTCGACGATACTTTGGAGGTCACAACGTTGGAAGCTGCACCTACCTTGCTCTTACACTCCGTCTTCACACAATAATCTTCCTCTGGCATCGGTTCGTCCGTCGATTTTTGACCATTCTGCTTCGTACCCGGTAAATAATTCTTATCGCTCGTGGACTTGTCGCCAAAATTAAATTGCATTATCGTACCTGCCTTGCCGATGTTGTCCAAGGCGATCTTGGAGATAGTTTTCGGACCGTCAACAATCTCCTCGTCGACGTTCTTTTCCCCATCGTTGAACGCGACGCGGCTCGATTTCGCGTCTTCTTTCCATTCCACATTGATGGACGATTCTGGAAGGCGTGCCTGCTTGGGACTTTCGACATTCATTCTAGGAATCTCGTTCTCGATTTGCGGATCAACAGCTTTGGATTCCACTTCCGTCTTCGAGGGTTCTCCTTTGACGGGGCTCGGTGGTAGCGGCGGTTTGTGAAGCGGACTTGGGATCTGAATGCGAATCAAGTCCTTGATGGGAGAGGAGGGACTCTGCATGCCCGGTCTGATATCCTTGATTGGTGACGGCGAGCTTGGAAGTCTGGGTGACAAGATCCTCGGCGACAGCACCGGCGTGACAGGCGGTGACTTGATAGTGATTTCCAGAGTAGCGGACTTTGATTTGCACATTTGTGGCGGTTCCGGGCTGTTCGCTGGAGAGAATTTCAGTTTGCAGCTCGAGGGTTCCGGCGACGGAGAGGGCGAGTGTGACTTTTCGATCTGCTGAAACTTGCTCACTACCGAGGATACCGATTGCGCGATCGGTTCCGTGATGACGCCGTCTATATGATACTCTTCCTTGCCGTCCTGCGTCTCGATCAGTTCAGCGGTCGGCTTGTGCGGTAACACGATTTTTTTCGGGGAACCGATGCCACCGGCAGTACGAGCACCGCCGTTGATGAAAGGTTTCGGCTGCAATGGTGGTTTCTGTGCCAGCTTCTTCTGCGTCTGCGTTTGTGCCTTGAACGTGTCGTTGATGGTCTTGAAGGTAGCGACTTTCGCGGCGACTTCGCCCTTTGGCTTCAGCTTCCTCGCAGAACTCTCGAAGATCCTCATCGTGGTCTTGACTAGATCCGGTGGCGGTCGTTCCGTTTCCGCCAGTACCGGTTTGATCCTCTTGGGTTTGTTGATTGGTTTGGGCCGATCGAGCTCGCACAGGCGGCTCTCGATCTTCACGGACGTACGATCGACGAGAATGATGTGGTCGTTGACCGGTTCCTGGCGAACGCCGTTCGTCACCGGCCGAGTAACCAGAACCTGACGTGCAGTCATCGCCTCGTCAACCGTCACGCTATTGTACCTCATCAAGGTTTCGACGCTGCGCGCCCGCTTCATCGAGTCGTTGCCCCGGGAGGAGTTCCGGTATCTGTCGGTCTTGGAAGCAACGGCGGTGGCGGCGGCAGCGGCGACGACGCCACCGCCGCTTCGCTTCGCGTACTTCTTGCTGGTAGTGACCTTTTCGTGACTGGACTCCTCGTCGTCTCGGTCCAACAAATCCTCGAGGCTGGCTGCGCGCCGAAACCGTTGCACCGACGCGCGGCTCTTGTTCGTCTCGCGCAGAGTGAGGTTAAGGTACTTGCACTTGAGCTTGTTGACGATCCCCGGTCCGTATTGCAGCTCCTCGGAACTGTCGCTCTCCGCTTCCTCGCTGGAGGCGCGACTTGGTGGTGCGACGCGCAAACTTTTCAGTACTCTAAAGTTTCCACCGTGGAACATCTCCTTACCGTGTCTTCCGGTCAAGACGGCGCGAATCTCATCGTCGCGCTGCTCGTTGTTCTCGATACTCTCGTTCATCCTCGCTCTCAATGGTTTGCCGTCCGCCGTTCTCGAGGTCGCGTCCTCGTTCTCCTCGCCGATGTTGTAATCCGACAACTTTCGTTCCGATGAAATTTCCGCGAATTTAGCCGGCGCGCCGTTCACGACATCCTCCGCGTCCGAGCAGAGCGACAAATCCGCCTCGA